AGGTCCGGCAGCTGTATGGGGCCAAGGGCTTCAGCCTCAGCGGCGTGCCCCAGGCCGAGATCTCCGGTGAGTACCGGGAGGGCGCGGGGAGGGGGCTGTGAAAGCCCGGCCGGGGGTTTCCCCGGGGCCGGAGCTGCCCTCGGGGCCGCTGCAGCCGGGGGGTTCCCCCGGCGTGGGGCGTGGAGCGGCCCCAGCGCTGGAGTTTGTCTCGAGTCGTGGGCGGCGAGAAGTCGGCCCGAGAGATGCCCCCGCGGGCCGGGCACCCCTCTTCTGCCCTGGCATCATATCTGCCCGGCTGGCGGGGGGATCTCTCTCGCCGTGGCGATGCAAACGGACCTGTGAGGGAGAGGGGGTGATGGCACCAAGCGTTCAGCGGTGGCTTTTTTTCATTGTCTCATTTCTTCTGTTTCGAGTACAATTGAAACGGTTTCACGGTTCTGGTTCAGGAAGCGGGATAATCGGACTGTAATGGGTTTTGGTGTCAGAGCTGGAAAATGCCACAAGGTTAGGAGAGAGAAGAATTGATTTATCTTGGTCTTCTTTTGGATGGGAAATAAACCTATAAATGGCATTTGTCACTTGTTAAAAATGAAGCAGGAGTAAAATGGCCCCGTGTCAAGCTTGTGAAGCGTAGAGGAAACGTGAGCAACCTACATCAGTGTGTCCTCTTCATTCTGATTTTGGACAAATCTTGGGTCATTTCAGAAAGCCACTGAAATACCAAAGAATATTCAACGTCTGGTTTGTGTTGGGTTGGTTGGTTGTTTTGTTGTGTTTTTTTCCTGAAAGCTTGGGGGAAATATACTGGGGTATTGTAATTTTGTTTTTATAATTCTAAGTTTTGACCCATATCCAAGAGCTTTCTCCTCACTTGTGGGAGCTTCCTCCTTCAGACAAAGCATAGAACATGCAGGCGTACGTGCCAAAGCCAACCTACAGGGACAAGCCAGTAAAATTGCACTTTGTAGTTCACATCTAAGCTACAGAATGCTTTATGTTGAATATTTCATTGTGCAGTTTTCCAGGGAAACCAATTCATTATCTGACCCATGAATGGAAAAGGCTGAACCATATACATGTCTTATAAATGTGAACAAATTAATACTTTCTTTGTCAAGTTGCAGCCAAGAGTAAATTTCCAAAATAAAATGAGCAGTCCTTGAAGTTAAATAGGGGAATTTCAAAATCATCTGAACATCACTATTAATAGAACAGCAATTCAGTTGAGCAAGAAAGTGGCTTTTTATAAATTTGCATCTAATTATTATAAATATGAACACATTAGTAGTCATGTTTCAAGTGGAAAGTTCTTAGAGGACTAAATGTTTACAAATACTGGGGGTGTGGGGTGGTACTACAGGGGTAGCCCTTCAGAGTGACTGAACTGCAGTTCCAGGTATCTTATTAGTAGGGAGTTAGTTGTGCCTAGAAGTTGCTGAAGTTCAAATAGTATCAGGGGACACAAAGATTTCTACGAGTTTTGTTTCCTACAGTTTGTGCTACGAGTGTGTGTGCTGGCAATCTTAAGCAGCAGTAGTTAAAGTTATAGTATCAAACTGGGCATCTCTGGCTGTTGCTGTAAACAGGGAAACTGTAGATAAACGCTATAAAAATTTGAGGAATACCACATGGAAAGTAATATAAAGAAGTGCTTGGGTGAAGAAGGTTCCACACACAAACCTGCTGCTGATATTATTTGCCTGGTATTTAAAACAGTTAACAGACTTAATGATTTTCATTTCTAATTACTATGTGTACCTTCTAACTGATACTTATTAAGGAATGTGTTTTACTCTTGCTGTAATACCTACCCAGTACAGTAAAATCACTGTTGTACGCTAGTACTAACCTCAGAAATACTCCTAATTAAATATAGTGGTGTGTATCATTGTGTTTTGTAGCAGTTGTACAGTTGAGTTCAGAAGTTGATACGTGTTTTGTTGTCTCCCAGAAGTAGCCTTGAGACGTTCCTCAAGTGTCCTCACATGCAGTAAATACACAATAGTGCAGTTTACAATTCCACATTTTGTCAAAATACTCAATCATGGCTTAAGACGGTTTCAGCAGCATTAGTTCATCTTGCAGGGTTGTAATCTGTGTGGAGCCCTGTCAGGTTATACCCGACTGGCACCTGTCAGTGCGTACACAGCATGCAACAACTTTTGGCTAAGTTGAGAGATGATTATTCAGACTGTTCAGTGATGGCCCTAGCTGGACCAGTGCTAAGGTTTTCTGATAGCAGCCTTCTTCTCCATGTTGTTAGGTTGAAGAGCTATTCCAAGAACCACAGTTTTGTCTTATTTCCAAGCACTCCAGAGGCAAAAGCCCTTCACTTTCTCCCTCTCCAAGGGAAACATGCTGTTTCTTCTCTTTGCATTGCTTGCCCTGAAGCAATGGGGAAAACTCCTTTCTTAGCCCCACGGCTGTGTCCCCAAAGCTGTGCTGCCATGCTGGGCTGACCTTGCTCCTGTCTGCTTTGAACTGTCTCCAAGGCACTGCTTGGTGTGTGTTGCTGTCACACCAGCCTGGCACCAGGAGCCAAACCACAGGCTGCTTGCACCCCCAGAACTTGACTTCAAAAGGAGTTTAGTAAGCTCCTGTGATGCAGGCTCTGACTCAGGCTGAGACGGCTGTGTTTGTGTTGGTTTTAGAATGCTTATTGCATGCTTCACACCTTCTAATCTGTATTCTTTGTTATGATTTAAGAGGATTATGAGTAATAGAAAGTCTCCATAGCTCAGCAGAAGGTAGTCAGTTCTTATGACTGCACGGATCAGTTAGAGAAGCAGTCACACAGTTATTAGCTGGCTGATAGATAAACAGCTGATTCAGGGATAGACTCTTACTTACTCTTACACTTACCAGATTTCTCATGAACAACCTAGACAGGGGGTTCTGTTTTTTAGCTAATGTTGTACAATGCCTTTAACATGTCTAAGCACTTTAAATGTGTCAGGTGCTGTTATTAAGTGTGTTTAGGGAATGCACAAGGTGTTGTATCTCACTACTTTGAAGTCAATGGCAAAGCTCCCAAACATGAAAGAAGCATCTGCTCGCATTTAGTAATCCTGACAGAGAGACATGCACCCAGAGTCTCCAGTGAGGATTTGCCTAGAAGAAAATTTCCAGTGCTGAGGAAGATGCTCCCTATGCCCCTTGGGTTTGGAAATGTCGCAATACCCTCGCTTCCGTAAGGCACGCTAACTTGAGCAAAGTTCTTCTTCGTGTTGGGGAGTGGTTCCACTCAATGGCTTGGTGACCCCCACCCACTTTCTATGATTGCTACAAAATACAGGAAAACTGTTTGAGAACTTCCAGATGTTCTGTTTCCTTTCAAATACCTTCTGTAGGTAGCAAGCCTCAGTTCCTGCTTCCCACATTCTGACCACCTTCACACCATCAGTCTATTGCAGTGACTGAGAGAGGTGCCTTGCTCTAGTTGGACTTCTTGGTACGTGTGTTATGGGCTGGTCTTGGGTTCACACCATGTTTTGTGATGAAGGTCAGTGAGCCTACAGCAAAAATACTGTGCTTTGGGCAGGATCATCTTCTTTCTCTGCTGACTTGATCGAGTGGTTTAGGATTACTGATGTCAGATGGGTGACTGCTCCCCAGTGTCTCGAGCAGAGATAGTTCTCTCCTGTACTGAAGAGGACTTGAGAGCTGTGATTTTATGTGGATGTGCTTGGCCCTTGCTCACTGTTTGGGCTAGGCTTTTGCGTTGACTTGTTTATTCCTGAGATTAATCGTTCCTAGACTTGGCTCACTGCTGGGCTGAGCTTGTTGACATAGGCAATGGGGTAATGCAGTGAAAGAAGAGGAGAATAAAGAAAAAATGTACTGGGCTGATTTCTGCTCATGCCATTCTGTATCTCATGAGTATGCTTCCCTGGTTCCGTAACTGAAAGGAGTCAGAACACTTATTTTTTAATCTTTTGGCCCTTTTAGGCTGCATAATTTGGTTTTGTAATGACAACATTGTCAAGTGCATGTGTTAGAGCCATTTGGAGGAGTGTTAGCTAAGTAGAGAACAGGTCTGGCTACAGATGGGATTTGATGAGGCTCAGATGAGCTGCAGTTTTGGGGGGCATTTGAACTGCTGGCAGTTGCAGCATGAAAGGCATGAATGCAAGAAGGTAAACCTGCAATCCCAGGGAAAGATCTTTACCACTTAACTGAAAGGGGACACACTTGGCTCCAGCACTTTTTGTGGTTTTTGTTATATTTGGTTTGTAGTTACTCAGTATGGGTGGGATGTCTCAGGGTTAGCTGCTTACATGGTGAACTCCCAAATGCAGCATCACCCCATTTACGCTAATGAATTTGTTAAGGGCAAATCAGAATGGCCTATGAAGCTTGTTCGGTATAGAATGCTATTTCTGATGAGGCGTAACATGGGGAATGTGTATTTTCCTCCATCTGGCAAGTATATTGGTGCAAAGGTTAGAGGAGGTCATGCTGAACTGTGTCTTTCCCTTTCTGCTTAACTTAAAATAGACATAGAAATTTGCCTATTTTACACTTCGTGATTATTTTGTGAATTTGTGACTGCAGAATGTGTGCATACAAAACTATTATGAAAATGGGATTTCTGGAGAAAAATGGGCTCCCTCCAGCGGTTAGTTGCGGGAGTGACTCGGAGTCTCAGAGGAGCCTGTGTCTTCACAGACCCAGTGCTTACCTAAGCTGTGTCTGAAATCTGGAAAGCTTTATACTTTGATATTCTTTGGAGTTTTGTGGTGTTGACAATATTTTTATGAGAATCTGCCTTGCTGTCACTCTGATACGGATGACTAAGCTCTCACCACATAATTATCCTTATCTGCCACGTCTGACAAAGCTATTTCAACAGCTCCTTTTGTTGGTGAAGCAAAAGCCTCATATTTATTTATTTATTTTGCATGCATGTATAGCTGGAGACACTCACCACCACCACTGTGTGAAACTGTAGAGCTCACCTTGTCTCTCCTCCTTTTCTTGTCCTGTACATGCCCTGCTTTGTTTAAGAATACATGTCACTCAGTCTCTGGATACACTGGCTGTGTTTCATAGGAGATGTGTGGCTT